GATGTGCTGATCCTGGATGCTACAATCACTCCATAAGGTATGGTTCATCGATGAAACAGATGGTCGCATTGATGAAGCAATCGAAGTCGTGCGAACAGCAAATAAGAGTGAGTCTATCCTGCCGCCTCAGGAATTTGTATTTTAAAGTGCTTTAATCATAAGCCAAAAATTTGCCATCAACAATTTTTTGAAGAATCCATACTCTTATCTTTTCAAAAAAGATAAAACTGTACACGTTAAGTACAAATAAGGCCTATTGGTTGCCTTGCGAAAACAAGAGCAAAGACCAGCCGGCATTCCGCGTGGCAATCGACGCTTGCCCTGTTACGTGCCCAAAAATTTACTCTTCTGGTCATAGTGGCTGTTAGCTTCTGTTCCTCTTAATATCCCAGTTGATTCCCAGTCAGTCAAACTACCAGATATACATAGGAAGGAATGCAATCTATTCGCTTTTTCTTCCGATTCTAACTGACTGGGCATCGATGAATTCTTTTAGTTTGGGTTGAACATCATCGAAAAGTACTTGGAATCTGAGTTGTTATTGGTGATGGTCATATCTTGTAACACGCCTCAGCGTTCATGTGTTCACTTCTTTGAGCAAAGTTCAATTTTCTAGAATACTTGTCTATGATGTCGGTCACGGATTCCTATCGCACGCCGAGATACAAAACTTCTCATCTGGAGATGTCTATTAGCTTTTATAAATTAATTTGAGGGATAGGTCCTCTAAGTGTTGTCTTTTAAGCGGACGTTCTTATAACTAAAATCTCCTTGTAGGTTGGAAGGTATCAACTGCTATAAAGACTATCAACATTGACTTTGTTTCGTTTCAGTATGACTGTTTTACGACGGCCCTCACAACTGGAGACATACACTATGCATGGTGGGTGGACCGTCACGGCGAACCTCATTACTACTGGCACGGGTCAAACGCAGGACAACACATGTGCAAGTGCGGTCTCTCTGGCAACTGCATAGACTCCAATTTCCCTTGCAATTGTGACGCAAAAGCCCCCCAATGGGAATCAGACTCAGGAGCGATAATGAATGAAACAGCGTTGCCCATAACTGAGTTGCACTTCGGGGGACTGCAATTTAAGGGTCAGCAAGCGAATTACACATTGGGTGGATTGGCTTGCAAGGGCAAGACTCCAGCCCCGGACAATCCAGCTCAATCCTGTTCATCTCTTCGCCAAGCTGGAAGCACTCATCCTGGTTATTACCTGATCAACTCCAAGAAAGGTCGCCTGGATGTTGTTCTGTGTAGGATGGATTTGGAGGAGTTCGACCCGAAGTTCCAGGTGGAGACAAATGCTCGTATTGCAGGAGGCGGGTTTCTGCATGGCAAGGTTACACATCCGGACAATCCAGCACAATCTTGTTCATCTCTTCGCCGAGCTGGAAGCACTCATCCTGGTTATTACCTGATCAACTCCAAGAAAGGTCGCTTGGATGTAGTAATGTGTAGGATGGATTTGGAAGATAACAACCCAGAGTTTCAAAAAGAGACAAATGCTCGTATTGCAAGAGAAGCGATTTATTTCGATGTGTATGGAGCATTGGGAAGTAATGGCAGCGTAGTACACTACTCCGGCGTCGATGTCAACATCGGCGGGGCAATGAATTATTCAAGTGGATTTTTTATAGCACCCTTGGATGGCATATATGCTTTTCATTTTCATTGTGTTATGCATGTTGATCATCTTAATCTCTGGTTGCGGAAAAATGGATTGGATATGGGTGGTATATTTTCTACGGGCGATAATTCGACTTTAGGTCAATCCATTCTTCTACGCCTGAATACAGGCGACAATGTCAATGTCTACTTCGCAAAAGGAGTACTCCCGCCCTTGATTCCTTACGGACGTTACACGCATTTTATTGGATACTTGTTGTATCCCATGTAAAACAACATTTGGGAAAATGCGCGCCGATTACTTTTAATTTCTCCAGTGAACAACGTCCGCACGTTTAAATTTCTTTTTATTATCAACTGTTTCAATGGAATAGCCAGATTTTCTTCATAGGACTCTCGACTTACCGAAAGCCGTAACCTAAGAAACCTTTTCCTGCCTAATTTTACTCGTATCAAAATCCTCATTATTTCAGAGCCATGAAAAAGCTTGAACAAATGTGATTAGCGTGTTATTAATCACGCGGATACTTTTGTGTGGCCAGCGCCATGGAATGCAAAACACGACCATCGTCCGTTGTTTTCTGGCATGGAAATGGATGACGAAAAATAACTCAATATATATTTTTCACCCAAATCAGAACGGTATAATTATTTTTCTAAAATTTATTTTTGGATTCCCGATCCAAAAGGTGCCACTTATCTGTTAGATTCCTTTCCATATTCGCGGGCCTTCCTACATCCTTCAGTTACATTAACTTCTGCGAAAAGGATCGGGATAAAATGAAATACCCGGGAAATACCCGAATCTCTCATCCAAAAGATAATATTTTGGATATTCACGGGTTAACAACCGTTTTTCACAGCTTTCGTCCCATACCTTATCAATGTCCTTAGCACCTAACTCGGAAACACAAATCGGGCTCGAAATAAACTCGCGTTTGCTGCTCTCAGACGCTCGTCCCTGAATTGAACTTAAGGTAATATTAGGGGACTAGAGGAAAACTTCAAATCTTTAGTTGAGGAGGTGAAAATAAATAAATAAAATGTTGTTGGAGAGACGACCACGAACAGGTAGAGCCGAGTCCCCGTTCAATTCGAGACTGACTTTTCAAGGAAAGCAAGGCTTCCTTTACATGTATCAATAGATACAAATCTTAGGCATGAGGGTTAGATCTGAACAGGCTTGTAACACAAACGCTCTAATTTCGAATAAATCCTGTGTATACATTACTGACCGAGAAACCCAATCCCTCGTAGTCATTCTACATATCAGATGTGTGGCACTGTGGCGTCACAATAGGTGGGTTATTCGTGCCGCAAAATTATTTCGCTAATTGATTTCTATATCCTGAGTCCAATTACGACTTCTAAAAGCATAAGTTCAGTTCACAGTTTAGCAGTTTTCAGTTAAGTCAATAAGGGAAAATGAAAAACGGAATTAAATTCTGGCTCTTATATACGCAATGTCCCAAAACAAATGGACCTTTTAAAATTTTTAGCCGTTCGTAATTGGTTCTGACTATCGCTGTGGGCTCTTGAGGACTGACTAAGACATCAAATGAGCACCTGCATGTAAAGTTATAACAATATTCATTCGCTAGTTCCTGAAATACAGGAGATTATTCAGAGCGTACCAGTAGTAAGGGAGTGCGCCAGAACTGTATGGGCGCATTATTCCAAATGCATTATTGTGCCTCGTACAGGATGACTGACATGATGTGTACGGCCAAGACAACTTCAATAATTATCTCTGTTTTGACACTCGGATGATGTGCTCGAAAATGCACCGTGTCAGTCAGTGAACAGTCACGTGACATTGATCGAAACCCAAACGCTGCGCATTATCCTCAGACGTGGGAGCGGGGTGTTTCCATTATGGCTGGCTGCGGCCGGCGGAAATGGTCTGACGCAACCCGTCTTGGAATAAACTGATGCACCTCCGAAATGAATCAATGCATTTTGATACAACTTTGCAAGCATGTGCTCATGTGATGTCTTGATCAGACTTCAAAAGCGCATAGGGAAAGTCTAATCCAATAACGAAGAAGCCACAAAATGAAAAAGGATCCAACATTTTTTGGGACGGAGTGTATATTGTAGATGACCCCAAGTGTATTTTGTAGATGACTCCAAGGCCCCATGGGCCTTGGAACCAATTTTTGGCACTCTCGGGTGAAGCACCTGACCGTGGCGAAAGGTCAAAGGTCGCGATTTGCATGTTCCTCTTTGGAAATATGAATCTCCCCAACCCTTTACCGCAGAAGCGTCAATTTTTCACTCCCATTTCTGGCCCCAGAACATATTAAATGATGAGATCAAGAAAGTGATCATCACTCTGCACTCCGAGACGCCGTGGCGCCATTTATGAAAGTTAACGTTTCGCGAATTCGCATCTTTCCTCGCTTATTCTCAGAAAAAAACATTGCAATGGGAAAAGTATGATTTCGTTTTTAGAGGCCGTCCCAATTCGCCTTCGCGTCAAAGAGCGCGATGATTCAATAAACGTTTTTCACAGGAAGTTTGGAGATATACCTCCAATCTACCCCAATTTTGCGTAGCACCTCACACCCATGGTCATTTCTCGAGAACGAGAGCGAAATTAAAAGTTTCCTATAACATATTTTTGAAGAAGCCTCTTGAACAGCTTCAGGTTCACATAAAGCAAAGCAAATTATTCATTTCCCTAAGATCCTTGGTGATTTTACTTAACCCAAGTTTGACATATTCCAGGATGTTTGATACATTATGAGCTGTTTCTCTTCTCTGTGCATGAGGGAACCGAAATTACTTAGAATAAAAAAGTTAGGATGTGTATAAGGATTAGAATGACACTAAATCTGCGAAATTCCTTTCGAGTCATAAGGAAATAAAAAATATTCATTACAGAATCGATAAGGAAATTCACGCCAAGCTTGCTGGCTGATCCAGATTGCTGTTTCCCCCCTCTCCGGCGTCCGCCCTTCCCCTTCGCACAATCCCCTCGCACATGCTCCCTTCTCCTCACTCCTCTTTCCCCCCCTCCCCTCCCCTGATCCTCTCGTGCAAGGACTTGCCTGGCACCAGCCTTCTTGTCTCCTGTCTCGCTTCTCGAAGTGTGACTGGGATGGGTCTCTTCCTCCCCTCTACCTCATTGCTCTTCATAAATCACAGCCGCAATGCAGTGCACAAAATACACTCTCGTTTTCACAGGTCTATTCACGCTTTCTGTGTATGGAACCTTCAAGTTTTACGTATGGAATATCGTGTCAACTACAAGGGATTCTTTTATTCTATGAAATTTCACTTTGTAAAGCAACGACATTTTCCTCGAAGGAACTGGTAGCGTTGTCGTCGGGAAATTTTTCGTTCAGCTAAATATAATTTGTGATCATTCGCGCTGCTATCAGAATTAGAGTTAGACAAAAGCATGGAGTATTTTTCCTGCGGTCACTGCTTCTCTAGCGGCTTTTGAAACTGAAGTTTCGATACTCGAATGAGTAATTTATGGAGGGTCCGTCGTTGTTTCTTTGCGAGAGAAAAGAAAACGAGCTGCACCTTTTAAAAGATATTTAAACCTTCAAATTGAGTTTTACAATCGGATAATAAATGAAAACGATTTGGTTTTTTTGTCTGGTGCGCCACGGTGCTTAAGATTACGGAAAGAGGCCACGTCTTGACTGCATCCAGACACACTAAACTGACCGGATCAAACCCAAGGATTAAGGGATTATGAGATTACGAGACAGTACCCGGTCAAATGATGTGAGATGAAAATATTAGGAGAAAATGACGATGCATGGGATCTCCACGAATTCGCGCCGGATTGTGTTATCTCGTTCAACGCAGCTCATAAGCTAACTTTGGAATTAGGTTTTTTGTGTTTTATTAGAACGAAAGAACGGATCAGATGAAACTACAAAATTTCCTCGTAAGCAACACTCAATGGGAAGTGAGAACTATATCTCGTGCTTTCTTAGAGGGGGAAAGGAGCTTCAACTTCATGCAGTCGAAAGATCAGATTCGTGAGAAAGCCATATACAGCTAGCCATGGTCGAACAGTGGCTAGGGTAGGAAAATCCCGATGTGGTCGAGTTGTGACTCATCGTTGGTGATGGCGAAAGCCAGCCGAAGCAAGTAATGACTCAAAAACAATGGTATTAATATATACTGTAAATGGGCGGGACGCCCATAAATAGGGAACATACGTAAGCAGAGGCTAGGTTTCGTGGCTCCCAATAAATCCGAAATAAAACATATGAAGGTGCATGGAAATTATTGAGGCCTCTCAACTCATTCATGAGAAGATACAAATTGTCAATTCGGCCCAACCTTGCCAGACATTTAATCCCCGAAGGAATCGCTAAACGCCATCCAATGCCATCCACGAATTGACTGGATTTGTGCGAAAACCGATGATGTGAAGAATATAAGCAGCACGTACAACGAATCATCAATGGCCGAAGGTATGTATCTCCATTCCCATTCTGCGAGAATGAGACGCACTATGAACAAGGTATCGAGCAGTTATTTCCAACACCGGTGCATTTTTTTAAATAAAGAAGATAGGGGGGCCGACAATGGGAACAGTATTGACCTCTACGCTGGCTGACAAGCACCTGACGAGATAACCCCACCATTGCCTTGTTATGCAATTTTTTTTGTTTGCACGATGCTCTTGCTGAAATCCACTTGAAATCCATGGATTTCAATCCAAAAGCTTATTCCCGTATTAATAAAAAAAATTGCCTTTGCAAACCCCGATATAAAACTGATAGTAAACTCAGAGTAAATATGGCAAATATTGTAAGGCAAAATGAGTGTCTGGAACAAACAGATGACACAATTAAAATGGTACGATAATTCAACCTTTTAGCGGAGAAAACGAATGCCTACATAGGAATCAGAAAGGAAGAAAATACCTGAAAAGGTGGTCTCCCTGGATGAGTTTCCATCCAAAAACCTAAAACGCCAACCTTAATGACTTAATATTTCATGAAAACAGCAACTCAAAGGCTTCAGCTGATAAGAAAAGAACCCCTTGGAGCTGCTGACTTTGTGGGCCAAAAAAAGTATTATTTACGTTCTTTCCTTTCCCCTCCATTTTCATCTCACGAAAACAATCAAATGCAAAGTATGGCAAGGCAATATGAGTGCCTGGAACAAACATATGACAACATATAAAGCAAGCAGGCATATTTCTTTGCCTTTGACTCAAGCACCAAAAAAACGTGTATTTTTTGGCACTAGTCGAATATTGCAACACATTTAAGAACGTGCCACTCATGGCCACCTGAAACTCAGGCCACATTTACCATATATAAAATGTACGGAATCCGCCAAACCCAAGACAACGTGACCGACCGCGCCCAGTGACGTCATCGGAACCTCGAAACAGATGGGGCGAAAGAAAAGTGGCTCGATCCAGTCTGCGACAGATGCCCCAGAGTTGCAAGCCAAAGGTACGCACTGATTGCCGTGAATGTCTTTTTACTCTTGCATTGAAAATTGATTCCCAGATGCGAATGCACAACCCGTCCTCAATCTCGGCACTCGCCGGTAATGTAGGTGAAGAAATCGACGCTGGTATCCACACCTGCGACTAATAAACTTTAGCTTGGCACGGTTGGATAATTTGGCGATATACCCAATAATGCAAAAAGCTCACACAGGCCGCTACTATTCATCTATTTCAGCTGTATATCCAGAGGAATAAATAATGGGCTTTATAACATGGCTTCAATGACGTGCTGATGGGGAAGCCAGCAACTTTCCAACGCCAAAAGCATGATTTACCCTTGGTTGGGATATTTTCCCATTTCTAGGATCATCGATACAAACGAAGTATTTTTTTTTTCGAAATATCTAGAGGATGCATGATAAAAAAGGAACTAAATACAAAGTATCGTATTATGCAACCGCTAATTTCTCTAATACGTCCCCGAGTTTTCCTTGGCACGTTACGTGTTGGCATGATATTTTTCCTTGATGTTCAGTTCCAACTGTTGTTGGGATAATATGAATAATAATACTCTTCTTGGTCAGAAGTGCCGCATTATGGCCAATGATATAACAGCCACAGGTTCTGATTGATGACCCTGAAGCCATTATTATACAGGGTGAGTCGAAAGTTGTGCCCACCTTTCGACCTTCCTCTCCGGACTGAGTCATCCGAATTCGAACTACAGTATAATATTTCAGAGACTTTTGAATCGAAATTTTCACACTGAGAGTACGCATCTCCTATCTAAACGACTAAATATAAACTTTGCATTATATTTCAGGAATTATGGAGATTGAGATGGAACACAAGGAAAAAGTTTCACAGTGATATTACAGAAAATGTTGACTGAGATATCAAAGCCATCACATACGGGCCAGGGGAAAATTTAATTTCAAAACGCCAAAAGCTAATCGCTAATTGCTAAATCGCGTCTCTCGTTCCCTGCTCTGGCCTCTTGCATGCAGGAGAAAAGACAATCTCTTCAAGGGAAATATTTACTTTTGAAATCTTTTCCTTTCCATTGAGCCAATGCTGCGTCGTTGTTGAGTAGTCGTAGTCATCCCCTTCACCATGGGCATTTATTCGCAATCTGGTTTCTTTAGCAAAGTTTTGTATTAATTTGTGTGTTTGCCCGATGGCTGGCTTTTTGAGTTCAATTACTTCAAAAAGCAGTGTTTAACTATAATTTAACTATAATTACTGGTCTGCTGCTTCGATTGAGTCGAGTCCAATCGCTTTTTTTTCCCACTGTGGGAGAAATGATTCCCCATGATAGCAGTGCTGGGCATTTCCTTCAAAGACAAAAATGATGGAAATGGAACGTCTGAGAATATTTCAACCATGAGCACAATACATATTCGGAGGTTTCCATACCCACGGCTAAAAGTAATGGGCGCAATGCGATGTATCCAGTCGAGATCCGAGTCGAAGCGCACTCCATTCGGATACATCACGCGGGTGAGAACGCTTCGTGGCCTGCCACTTCCCAACCTTGAATCTCGAGTCGATAAATACCAGATGGCCTCGATGCGTCGTGCAAAGCTCGAACGGAGGGTCGGGGGACTGCGTCGTAAGATTGTCTAAACATCGAAGCCAGAACACGAGATCACGTCGACGGCGACCCTCGATCCAGTCTCCGAGATTCTATCGTCTCGTTAGTGTCGGGTAGGAGGGAAGAGATTTCCCTTTTTAGGTGAGTTATTCGTGCCCGTAAAAATTATTTCGCTCCTCGATTTGTATTTCCTGTGTCCTAGAATGTGCTCATCGCTTTGCTGTCCGAGGCGCCATGGCGTCACTAATGAAAATTCACGTTTCGCCAATTTCTGTGTTTCTTCGCTTATTCCCCGAAGAAACATTGCATCGGGAAAAGCACGGTCCAATTTTTAGAGACTGTCCGCATTCGTCATCGCGTCAAAGGACGCAATGATTCAATGAACTGCTTTCCCAGGAAAATGGGGAGATACACCTTAAATTTCATAAATATTTCATAGTAATTATTCATGACCCATGGGCATGAGGAATACCAAATTGCCTACTTCAAAAAGTAAATATATGTAAAAGGATTTGATAGACACGAAATTTGTGAAGTTCCTATCAAGTTATTAGGAAATACAAATATATTAAACAAAATCGGTAGGAAAATTCACACCTCCCCTCCCATGAATCTCTCTTGCCAGGACTTGCTTTGCTCTCTCGCCTCCTTGCCTGGAATGAGTCATTCATAAATGACTCATTCCAGTACTCATTTATGGAGGGTCCGGCTTTGTCTCTTTGCGAGAGGGAAAGAAAGCGAGTCGCACCTTTTAAAATATATTTGAACCTTCAAATTTAAGTTTGAAATGGGAAATGAAATAATGTAAAATATTACTGCTTCTATATGAAAAATATAAAAATAAAGCGTTATGTGGTTGAAAATAGAGACCAAAAAACATCTGAACGAAGAATATGGAAGGATGAAGGAACCGACAAAAGGAATAATTAAGTACATTTAACCTCACTTTGAAAGACCCTTGCATATATTTCAAGGTAAAAATGGAACTGTGCGATTCATAGTTTTGCAATACAACCAAAAAATAATGTTTCATCAAATGAATGAAAGGGAACTTTTAAAAGTAAAAAAAAAGTCTAGGTCAAAGGCTAGGACATGGGATGCACGACAATAGGTAAGGAAGTTTCATTTTGAATTTGTCTGAAAGCGATGGCATTTGCTTTGAGTGGTCCCATTTTTCAAGAAAGTATTTCATTAATAAGGAGTGAGCAGTGCGAAAGTGACTGAATTTTAGAGTTTTTTATTATTTACCTTTCATTCGCTTCATAAAACATTATTTTTCGGGTGTTTTGCAAACCTATGAACTACGCAGTTAAATTTTTGGGGGGAAAAGAGGCAAAAAGAGTTTTGGGGTGTCGATTTTTTAATTAATTTTGGCTAACTTCGGTAGTCACGATTGAAATTATATGACTTCATAGGTCGATTAATATATTTGACTTGACAGGTATAGTTTTTTAAAAGTTATTTCTGAAGGTTCTTCCCAAAACGGTGGAACGCAATGGAACGCAATGAAACCGAAATATTTCCTGGAACGGAAAGGAACAAAATGAATAATTGTGGAACGGATCACGAACTGGAATACTTAGAGATCAGGTGGAACGGAATGGAACACGGAACGAAAAAAAAATTCCGTTCCGGAGCCCTGGTCGAAAGGGAGCACTAAAGTAAGAAGGATGGAGTTGAGTGCTAGCAAGAATGAAAAAATGCTTCCAATTTTAAATTCGGAGAAACTAGAATGCGTACGTTGTACTTAACACATGCCGATTGGTCTGACTGCACAAAAGTAGCAAAAATGGTCGAATAAGACACACCTATGAAAGCTGTGAAATTACTCCGTGAATATAGTAATACTCTCGTTTAAGAAATAACAAAAGGGTATTGGAAACCAAGAAGAAGGCTATCGTCTATCTAAATATGGCTTAGATAGAATAGATACTCATAACTTTTTACCCAATTAACGCTAAAAAAAGACACTAGAATAGTTTTGCTGGCCATTGTTAGTCACAATATGCCAAAAGCGTGCCATGCAAAAGGAACAAAGATGCATGCATGGAAACATTCCACAACATACCGAGAAAATTTATTAGCATCTCTCCGACCAAGGGAAGAGTAATTATCATTAGACGCTTAGACATTTCCTACTTGCACATGGACATTTGATATTTTTTTATTAATATACTTATTCAGGTGAAATTTAAATTTAGAAACACCATGGAACAGCGATTCGGATTCTGTATACCTGTCGTTTTCATTTCAGACCTGGAAAAAAAAATCCAAGAAGCTGTTCATCAATATGAAGGGAATTCCATGTCTCTTATTTGCTCTGATTCTTTCAACCAAGTCCGGGTCGGGAAAGGTAAGTCGAACCACATACATAGTCTCCCATACCAGCATTTCAATTAGTGAGGATAAACGCCACTAGTATGTGGATTTCCATGAAGAAGTGCATATACGATGTTCCAAATACACTAAGGGTAAATATATGTAATACAGACTTGAAAATTTGCATTGTTTGATTTAAACACCTTTGAATTTTTTTTCCAAGTTTACGGGGCAATGAATAGATTTTTTGGCTGCTAAAGATTGCAATTTTCCTTCTCGAAATGATTAAAAATTATTCATATATTTTAACATGAAGCACTTCTTGCGAAAATAATATTTCTAGTCATTCTTCGATTTCCCAGGCACTCGAAAGCACTCCGATCCATGGAAGAGAAAATATTGTTGACAGCTTGGAAGAGATGATGTTAGCTCTGAGGACAACAACGCTAGAACATGCGAAGGAAATCTCACAACTGAAGTCTGAGAATGAGCGCCTGTGGAATGACAAGGAAAGCCTCAGGGACGACTACAAGAAAATGAAGTATGACTTTGAGAGCATGAGGAAGGCAACTGGGAAGCTCAGTACTGAATACGAAAACTTGAGAAAGGAGCACGAGAACCTCAAGTCCAGCTTCCAGGAACATCTCCAGGAAAATGGCGAACTTAAACTTCAACTAAACACCACGCGAGAGAGACTTCAATATCTTGAGGCTCTTAGCCTTCAAATAAGTGAGTGGAGATTAGAAGCCCTTTGATCATAATTGTTGATGAACGTAAAAAATTAACCATGCATTCTGATTGAGCTAAGATATAAAAATGTTTGTTCCCCTTAACCGCAGCATGTCCTATAACTGCTTGGAATCTCTGCTTTACTGGACAGTGACTGTCACCACCATTTCAATAGTACGTTGCGGGCAGTTGCTCTCCTCTCACGATTTAGGGAACAATCAACGATGAGCATCGTACAGTATTGCAATTCCCTGACTGCAAACGGCTCCACGACAAATTGATGACTTCGAACAGAATGGTTCCTATGTCGTGGACGACGAATCATGGCCTGAAACGAGTTCTGTTGGGACACAAGAACCAGAGAGACACATTAAATCTCTTCAACCGAGGCCATGCATCGTTCTCCATCATGATCGCCCTTTTCCCCCTTGGCCTTTTAAAGTTTTATGTAGAAGAGTCAATCTCGCGTCATCTTGTAACAGCTTTCTCGAATGGGGAAAGCATTTTGCACTTATCTTTGGATAACTCTTATATTTGGATTTCTGCTGGCAGAAACTTCGTTATCATGTGCAGTTCCTTTTAGTACGTTCATTTGATAGCTGGCATCGCTTTAGAACGACTAATATACCCGCTCATAGTGAACAACACAGACAGCAGTGACAGAAGCACTTCAACCGATCGCATATTCCAGGCAGTGACGTGAAATGCTATCGGTACCCGAACTGCAATTTAATTACTAAATGTTTTATATAATTTTCTTCATTTTAGAAGCCTTGGCTCAGAAGTTCGTCTACCTGATGAGGTCGGCAATATATTAATTATTTCATCGCAGCTCCTCGAACGTGTCAGACGTTGGCAGACTTGGGAGTGACATGGACAGGAGAATACCTCGTGGATCCTGACGGAGCGTTGATCGGCGATGCACCTATCAAAGTGCTCTGTGATATGGAGACAGGTCGGTGAAGTGAACAATCTTTCCGTTATTCGGAAAAAAAAAATATATATATATGTATTATTTTTTGCTTTGTTACTTCCGGCACATGCTCTCTCAACCATCCTACGTCTAGATCCAGTATCCACGATCGTCCTCCATGATTCAATGGGAAACACTGCGATAGATCAATGTGCTGATCCTGGATGCTACAATCACACCATAAGGTATGGTTCATCGATGAAACAGATGGTCGCATTGATGAAGCAATCGAAGTCGTGTGATCAGCAAATAAGAGTGAGTCTATCCTGTCGCCTCAGGAATTTGTATTTTAAAGCGCTTTAATCATAAGCCAAAAATTTACCATCAAGAAAATTTTGAAGAATTCATACTCTTTTATCTTTTCAAAAAAGATAAAACTATACACATTTATTACAAATAAGGCCTATTGGTAGCCTAGCGAAAACAAGAGCAATGACCAGCCGGCATTCCGCGTGGCAATCAACGCTTGCCCTGTTACGTGCCCACAAATTTACTCTTCTGGTCATAGTTGCTGTTAGCTTCTGTTCCTCTTAATTGTCCTCTAAGTTGTCCCAATATGGTTAACTCTCGATTATAAATGATGGTCACATCCTGTAACACGCCTTCAGCGTTCATGTGTTCACTTCTTTGAGCAAAGCTAAATTTTCTAGAATACTTGTCTGTGATGTCTGTCACGGATTCCTATCGCACGCCGAGATACATAACTTCTCAACCCCTCTACAGATGATCAAAAATATTTAATTAATCTCCCTATCCAGGAGATTCACAACAGAAAATTCGCATGCAAGAATATTGATTTTTGAGGACCATCCAACCTTGCATAGTTCACGGTATTTCTGATTCAACATTGGCTTTCTTTCGTTTCAGTATGACTGTTCTACGACGGCCCTCACAACTGGAGACATACACTATGCATGGTGGGTGGACCGTCACGGCGAACCTCAATACTACTGGCACGGGTCAAACGCAGGACAACACATGTGCAAGTGCGGTCTCTCTGGCAACTGCATAGACTCCAACTTCCCTTGCAATTGTGACGCAAAAGCCCCCCGATGGGAATCAGACTCTGGAGCGATAACGAATGAAACAGCACTGCCCATAACTGAGTTGCACTTCGGGGGACTGCAATTTAAGGGTCAGCAAGCGAATTACACATTGGGTGGATTGGCTTGCAAGGGCAAGACTCCACCCCCGGACAATCCAGCTCAATCCTGTTCATCTCTTCGCCAAGCTGGAAGCACTCATCCTGGTTATTACCTGATCAACTCCAAGAAAGGTCGCCTGGATGTTGTTCTGTGTAGGATGGATTTGGAGGAGTTCGACCCGAAGTTCCAGGTGGAGACAAATGCTCGTATTGCAGGAGGCGGGTTTCTGCATGGCAAGGTTACACATCCGGACAATCCAGCACAATCTTGTTCATCTCTTCGCCGAGCTGGAAACGCTCACTCTGGTTATTACCTGATCAACTCCAAGAAAGGTCGCTTGGATGTAGTAATGTGTAGAATGGATTTGGAAGATAACAACCCAGAGTTTCAAAAAGAGACAAATGCACGTATTTCAAGAGAAGCGATTTATTTCGATGTGTATGGAGCATTGGGAAGTAATGGCAGCGTAGTACACTACTCCGGCGTCGATGTCAACATCGGCGGGGCAATGAATTACACAAGTGGAATTTTTACAGCACCCTTGGACGGCATATATGCTTTTCATTTTCATAGTACTTTGCATGATAATCATCTTAATCTCTTCTTGCGAACAAATGGATGGGCTAAGGGTGTTTTGTTTACTGATGACGATAGTGCGAAAGATCATCAATCGATGTTAGGTCAATCCACTCTTCTACGCCTTAATATGGGTGACAATGTCGATGTCCTTTTCGTAAAAGGAGTTCTCCCTCCCATAGATACTTACCGTCTACACACACATTTTGTTGGATACTTGTTGTATCCCATGTAGAACAACATATGGGAAAATGCGCGCCGGGTTCTTTCAGTTTCTTCATTGAACTATTTAGGCACGTTTTATTCTCTTTTTATTATCGAATCCTTGAATGGTTCGCGTATTTCTCTTGACTTGTAGTAAACCTTTTCCAGCCGAATTTAAATTGTATCGATATCCTTATCATTTCCGAGCTGTGAAAATACTTGAATAAATGTGATGAGCGAGTTATTAATCATGCGGTTCCTTTTGCGTATCCAGCGGCACAGAGAGAAAGACACGATCATTGTCCTTATAGTTCTCGCAAGGAAATGCATAATTCTTTGCCTTGCTGGATTGCAAAATTGGAACTCATGAAACACCAAATGAAAAAAAGAAACACTGTTTACGTAATTGCCGACTCTGACAGTGACATCGATGACGAAATATCTCTCTATATACAGAGGAAGGACAGCGAAGAAAATATCCCAGAAATTGTCATGCAGCCTGCGTCTTCAGGGGGTTGAGGCTGCAAGCCTACCACGACACCCTATCCAGACAGTATCTGCCGTTAGGCGCTGAAGCTATTAACTTAAATGAGTGAAAAGTAGAACCCAGATTTTCAGAGGTTTAAGTCCGTCTGCCAGCACCACTGTTAGCTATCAAATGGCTTGACCAGCCTTGCGACCGAAATTCATGACGAGACTGGTCCCTAAGGGAAGCAACCCAGCATGGCTTGGTATGACTCAAACCAATGTCATAAAAAGTAAAAGGGAAGGTTAGCCTGGGAAATGCAGGCCTACAATGAAAGAGGGAGGGGACTATCATGAATTCAGCCAAGTGTTCTGTGCTGACAGAATGGAACGATGCCCAGATTGCCTCTGCTAAACTGGGCCTTTGTCTCGAGGCACATTGAGCTAAAGCCAACTACCCCAACCCCGACGACCTGGATGAAATTAATTATTTGGATAGAATCAAAAGCTATGGGAAAGAGCCCAATCACTGGTATAGTATTCCTGCACCGGTTCTGTGTTGCAGTCACTCCTGTGCTGCAAGGGCCGCATATCCGAGCTGTTTACAGGTCGAGTTTCGGAAATATCCATGAATCTTTTCCAAAAGGATGCAAGACTCCTTCAGGAGCGTATTTCATGAGATCGTACTTACCATACCCTATCAATGTCCTTTACACTCAACTCGGAAACACGACTAGAACCCGAAAGAAACTCGCGTAACTTTTCTGAGACACTCGCCCCTAAATCATACTGAAGGTAAAACTGGGAGCCAAGTGGAACATTTCAAATCTTTAGTCGAGGAGGAGAAAATGAAATCATAATTTTGACACATTCTTCATTGACCATCTAAGTTCCAGAAAGTGCCTTCATTGAGTGGACATTTTAAGGACAACTTCATTTCCCTTGATTGCAGTCCGGTTTACTGTCCCTTTCAAATGTTTAACAAATTGGAATGGCAACGGAATACTTTCATGAACTACTTGTCATGGCAGAGCTAAAACCTTGATTTCTGCCACTATCAGGATGTCAAAACAGAGCATCGGCCTACGCTTTAGCAATTAGCCTTCATTAAGGGCAATTAGTTCAATATTGGTTGAAATTGATCCTTAAGGCGTTTCACTTTAGCAGTGAATTTTTCAGGTTGCCTACTGGGCTAACACTCTTGATTCCTTTGCATGAAATTAGCTCATCATGGCCGCACGTAGATGTTGCAACCATTGACTGAGACCATAGCTCCGCTGAACCAATATCCCATCATTCCCGAACAACATATGTCGTTCCCTTTCTGTCCGTCTCTTATGGCAAAGCGGCCGAAGTTTAGGTCAGGGTTGCATCTTACTTCTCTGATGGCGGGGCGGACGTGTCAGTTGCTATCCTCTGCGACATATGGTTAGAAACCCAAGTTGTGCATATGTGACAATTGTCAGGAATTGTCTACAGGGAAAGCAAGGCTTGCTTTCCTTGTAAAGACAAATCTTGGGTATAAGGAATAGATCTGAACAGGCATGTCCTCCAAGCACTGCAATTTCCAAATAAATCCTGTTCATTCATGATTGGCAGAAAAACCCGATCCCACTTAGTCTTTTTACATACCTCCGGCTTCCTTGGCTTGCTTCCAGAGTTCAGACTGATGAATAAAGTGAGAGAGGGAAGACCGAGCTTCCCTGGGGATGGCACCTCCCATGTGTCCTAAATGCACCTTTCTCCCCTTTTAGGTGTGAAGGAAGAATGTTTGCATCCGAGGTTTCTCAATTTTCCTTCCCCGCTGATTTCCTGATTCTCATCCCGTCATCGCCAGGAATCAAGTTTCATAGTCTCGTGCTATGAATTCAATTTGATTTTGGTGTCTGGTGCGCCACGTTACTCAAGAATGCGGAACGAGGACACGATTTGATCGCATCCAGACACTCTAAATTCACCGGATCAAGCCCCAGGATTATGGGATTATCGCAGGACGCCCATAGATATTGGACACCCGAAAACAGAGGCACATCGTCGTTCCCATGATATCCGAAATAAAACGCAGGAACGTGCATGAAAATTATTGAGGCCTCTGAAGCCAGTCATGAAAAGATGTTTATAGTCCATCCGGTCCAACCTTGCCAGGCTTTTCATCCTTGAAGGAATCCTTAAATGCCATCCACCTTCTCGCCCTTAAGTTTTTGGACATCTTGATAAGATGCTACACGAGTACCAGGAACACCTATGTCCGTTACCGTAGCCTCGAGCCCCTTTCGACGTTTTGACAGGCTGATGACAGCGCGAAATCAATGAGCTACCATAAAACAGTCTATGCAAAGTTGGACCGGACGGACTATACTCTGCGCTGTTGCTTTCGAGGCCATCACTTCGCAGCTTCTCATTCCATCGGAAGCGTTCGCAGCCACGAAACACGCCGACGAACCCCCACCCCGCACCACGCACTCCGGACCGGTCATGCCTCGCACGACGCAGAAGCCGAATGCGGAATATCTCACGTCACGCGCCCGCAATCTCGCATTCCTCTCGGCTTCCTCATCCTCTCGTCTGTTTTACGACTGACGCAACCGCGACGCAATCGAGCTTCCGCACCGAAAAACCTTTCCTCGCTGG